GATCATCGATTGGCTGCCTCTTGCACGCCCCCTACTGGGGATGGAGCATGTGCCCTTACTGGGAATCAAACTGTGACCTCCTGCCTCATAGGTGGACACTCAACCATTGATCCATGCTGGCTGGGCTGGTGGAAGTTGCTTTAGAAATAGATGAGATCCCAAGATGTAAAGAAACATTAATTAATTAAGTAATCCACTCTGTAATGTTTTTCAAGTGTTTGCTGTGTACCATAATTACAGGAATCATGGGAGGCACCTGAGTATCTCGAATTCTCACAAGCTGGTGAAGGGACAGGTCACACCATTCAAAAACCAGTGTCAGTCCCTTTGTGAATTATTCTTTAACTAAAACCACTGCTGGAGGGGTGGTGTATGTGAGGATGCAGAGGTGTTAAAATTGCTGTGGGCACAGTAGGCGTCGTGATGGCTGAAGGTAAGTTTCATTTTGGGATCTGGAGACTAGAGATAGAAGGAGGAGGAAGAGGGACCAGGTGAACAAAGATGCAACTGTCTATAGGAACACAGCACACTGGGGGGAGGAGAGCAGATGGAAGGGAAGGTTTATTTTGGTGGGATAGTGGCAAGCAGGTTTGGAGAGAATGATGAGGGCCAAATGGTATAGGACTTTGAAGACCCAGCAAGGTGGTTTGTGCCTTATCCTGTAGGCAAAGGGGAGCTATGAGGTTTTTTATAGAGCAACGTAACAATGCAAGTGTTGTCATAGCAAGATAACTCAGGGAGAGAAGAGAATTAGATCAGGCAGATAAGATAAAAGAAAATAATATATGTGAAATATAAAACACATATTCATCCTGATATCATTTTTACAATCATAAGGCAAAATGATTCAAATATGAAATAGTGGGATCTTGGTCCAGGGTAATGCTTACAAAAAGAGACAATAATGAGAACATTTGAGGAGCAAGGATCAATGTGATTTGGTGACTAGTTGGAAGGAGGGAGAAAAAAAGAGGAAGCTACTACATCTCTCACCTTCTGCTTCTTTAATCTTCATAATTTTAAGATTATATACTTTGTACTAGTTAAGCATAGGCATTTGATTTTATATATTTTAAAATTTATCTTTTAACTTAAAATTATATTTTATTATTAATAACTAGTGCCCCAGTGCATGGATTCGTGCACATTGAAAAGAAATTAATTAGAAGGTGGCCAGTGGGGTGGGACGGGGTGAGATGGGCCAGACATGCCCTGGGGCCAACCTCCCATGGTCCCTCCCCAGCCAGCTGCACCTGGGGTGGTGCCGTGGCTTGAAGGGCATCTGCAGAGTGAGCAGGGTTTCTCTAGCAAGTGGGGTCCCTCAGCCTGGCCTGTGGGGATCAGGCCGAAACCAGCTCTCCAACATCCCCTGAGGGGTCCCGAATTGCGAGAGGGCAGTTCTCAGGTGATGCACCCCGGAATTGGGCTCCCTTCTCTCTGCTTCCGGGGTGCATCACCCGAGAACTGCCGCTGCCAAGTCACCGCATCTCAGCAGCTCCAGTGTTGAGCGTCTGTCCCGGTGTTCAGTGCGCGTCATAGCTACCAGTTGGACGATCAGAAGGTCGCTTAGCCTTTTATATACATAGATGTTAGAATAATGGATTCTTCTCATCTGGGACAAGAGGTTTATATGGCATGACCCAAAAGATTTTGAGACAAATGACTCATAATGTAAACTTTATGCCCTCATGGTGATTTTAATGAAGCCAGAACAGAGGATTAATATTTTACTCCAGGATAGGAAGATGGGGGACTGTAAAACACAAAGTCATTTTAAAAATACATAAGCATAAATTAAGTTTTAAGACTTTAAACTCTCAGAAAAGTTTTCTGACTCTATAGAACACTGTATATCCTTCATATTTTATTATTCTTAAAACTCATTACTACACTATCTTGGCTGGGAATTATGGTAGAAAAATAGGGTAAGAGTAGATGAGGAAGAGATGATAAAATAAGCAAATTGTTTCCCTACCACAAGTGAAAGGTGACCTGAGAATTATTCATTATAACATTCATTCATTCATTCCTTAAAGCATTTACTTCCAGGAGCTCTGGATTTTCAGGAATTATATTCTATACTAGAGGCCCGATGCATGAAGATTCATGCAAGAATGGGCCTTCCTTCCTCTGGCTGCCAGCACCGCCTTCGCTCCAGCCGGAGCCACCTTTCCGCCTTCCCAGACTGCCCTGAGGCCCGGAGTAGCTGGAGTGGTGTGGAACGCCTGCGTTGTTGCCATGGCGACGACACAAGCATCCTGCCCAGCCCCTGGTGGCTCAGCACCTGTGTATGCAAATTGACCCACCATCTTTGTTGGGTTAATTTGCATACTCACTCCTGATTGGCTGGTGGGCGTCGTGAAGGTACAGTCAATTTGTATCTTTCTCTTTTATTAGTGAAGATGTAAGATACAAAGAGACAATTAAATCATGTATGTGCCCTCAAGAAGCTTAGAGTATAGGGCAGTGGTCGGCAAACTCATTAGTCAACAGAGCCAAATATCAACAGTACAATGATTGAAATTTCTTTTGAGAGCCAAATTTTTTAAACTTAAACTATATAGGTAGGTACATTGTTATTAACTTAATTAGGGTACTCCTAAGGCTTAGGAAGAGCCAAACTCAAGGGGCCAAAGAGCTGCATGTGGCTCGTGAGCCGCAGTTTGCCAACCACTGGTATAGGGAGTAGGACATTACTAAATGAAAACTTTACCTACACCTGAGAAGCCTTAAACACTGTATGCACATAAGGCTATGGGACTAGAGCAGAGGGGAGCAGAGGAGACAGCTGAGTTGGTATCAGTAAGGTGGGCTAGAGAAAGAAGGGAAGGAGCTAGAGGAAGCTTGGAATGGCTTTCAAGAGAAAGTGATGCTTGAATTTCCCTCTGCATATTCCTTTCCTATTCCTCACTCCATGCCTCACCTTTACACCTCTTCTCTCCTCACTGGGTAATCCAACCACAACCACTTCTTCTCTTACTGCCTTTGACATGAATGCTTCCTAAAGAAGTACCCCCAGCTCAATCTACCTCTTTGATGAAACTCTGAAGTTGTGGAGAGAAAAGAGTCTGCATGGGAGCCTAAAGGTAGCCAACCAAGTACCAAAAAGTAATGTCCTGGAGGCCAAAGGAAGAAACCGTTTAAAACAGAAGTAGGCATGAGCGCTAGGTGTGAAAATGAAATGTGCTTTGTGGTTAGTCCATTGGTATACTTGGCAAGCCCGTGAGAGAAATAGTGACGATGGAAGTTTGAAGACTAATAAGGCAACAAATATACTCTGCTCATTTAAGACCCATTTAAAGAAGGGGGGAAGATAAGAACCAGAGGAGCAATTGGGTTAAGGGAGCTCCTTTGATACAAAAGAGAACCTGCTTCTATGCTGGGGGATAGCTTTAGCAGCGAGGGTACAGTTGAAAATGGAGAAGGAAATTGATGGAGTCAGTTATGACAATTGGGAGGGAATGATCTAGAGCCTCTGTAGACAGAAGCACTCGCTCTCTCCTGCTTGAGGCGGGAAGGAAGTGGGAGGCAACAGGTGGGGATACAGGGGAGTGTGAACACCAGGGGCAGGGAATCCATTTAGTTACTGCCTACACACTTGCTCTGCTTAAGTCTCCTACATAGACCACAGAGATGAGTAAGAGACCATGCCGGTACTCTCCTTTATTGAACATTCACTTCATTTAAATGAATAAACGGGTATTTAACCTTATGCTCCTTGAAATCCCAGCAGTGGCTGACAAAGGGAAGAAGTACTCCTTAGAGCATTTAATCATTGACCTTGCTTAGGATTGGTGCTACATGATGACAATAAAAATTAGTCTGACTTTTAGTCAGTTTTATAATCATCTTTAAATCATCTCTAGAAAATGACCCCCTTATGGCCTGCATCTGAGCAGATCTTTTCTGCCCGCTTGCCCTTGGTACGCCACTGATGCTCAGATGCCTGCTTCAAGGTTTCTCTTTGAAAAAAACAAACACATAAATGCTTAAAGTTAATTTTGGTAACAAGCGTGAAAGAACCTGAGGAAGTGAAGAAGTCAAGTTTAACCCCCTCATGTTACAGAAGAAGAAAGTGAGGCCCAGATAAGTGAATGGCTCATGAAGCCACTCAATCTAGAAATGGCAGAGCTGGGTCCCAACTCCAGTTCTCCCGACTCCTGGTTAGCTTCAGGAAAAAGTTCCATACTGTCTGTCTTTCCATACTGCCACCCAGATGGCAAGTTAGTGGTATTCAAGCAAGGAATGGTACCCAGATGCATAAGGAATCCATCAAATATTTGGGGAGAGGAAGTAGAAAGAATGACTTGATTGCTCTCCATTCTCCCTCCATTATGAAGTCAAAGTGTTTGCCCTTTAAGGACTTTGGAGCTCACTGTAACCAATCTCTTTCTTTTCAATTTATTTTTTTAAATATATATTTTATTGGTTTTTTACAGAGAGGAAGGGAGAGGGACAAAGACCTAGAAACATCCATAAGAGAGAAACATCGATCAGCTGCCTCCTGCACACTCCCTACCAGGGATGTGCCCACAACCAAGGTACATGCCCTTGACCGGAATCGAACCTGGGACCCTTAAGTCCACAGGCTGATGCTCTATCCACTGAGCCAAACCGGTTAGGGCTTCAATTAATTTATTGTTGGTTGTTTGGTGTGTGTGTGTGTGTGTGTGTTTAATCCTCACTTGAGGATATTTTTCCATTGATTTTTTTTAGAGAAAGTAGAAGAGGGAAAGACAGAGAGAAATATTGATGTGTGAGAAACACATCAATTGGTTGACTCCTGCACAAGCCCCGACCAGGGCCCAGGCTGGGGAGGAGCCTGCAATCGAGGTACATGCCCTTAACCGGAATCGAAGCCAGGACCCTTTGGTCTTCCTGGTGTCCATTTGGTGATGAGAGATGCTACCTAATATGCCAATCATCTCTAGTTCTATCCTTTTTAGTTGGTGAGTACTCTAAAAAAATCAACATGTGGAGGATACAGAAAAAGCTCTTACCTCTCTTGAAGTCCGATGGGTTTCATTTTGAAAGGAGAAGGGCAGACAGAGGTGGTAGCTTTGATCTCAGGAGCGTGTCGACCTTGAGGGTCCACGACCACACTCAGGACCTTCGGCGCCTGCTCAGGCTGGACCATGCTGTTGGCTGTCTTTGCCTCGGACTGTGCTGGCTGTAAAGCGAGGGGTGATAGGTGGATCTCCTGATTTTTCTCTTTATCTTGTCTCAAAGAAAGCTGAAACTTTTCTTTTAATCTGTAAAGAATCTAGAGAAGGAGATATAAAGGGCTCCTGTCACATTTTTCACACTCAACAACAAAGTATGATCTCTTTCACCCCAACCTAGAAGACAACCCAAAGTAAAGGTTTAATGGTCATACAAGTAAGCAAGGACTCCTAGGACGGTTTCTCAGTTTTGTGGTATTGAGATTTTTCTCAAAAGAATACTAGTATATTTGGTATTTCTAGTTATGGTGCACAAACATGTTAAATATATCTGCACATGATTGTATTCCCCAAATAGTATTAAAAGTATATTTGGCTAATGTTATTAAAGTGTCAGATAGCAGTTTGATCATAGGTAAGCTTTTAATTAAAAAAGGTTTATAGAAGGTTTATGGAAGGTTTATAGAAGGCATAAGCGTGAAGTATGGGTTTTTGACATTTACAGAAACAGAGATCTGCATTCAATACAACATGTAAGAAGAAAGTCTTGCAAAATATTAATGAAAGTATAGTTATGCTATAATACATAATTTCCTATGTTGGTAAATATCTGAATTAGTCATATGTTAGCTTGAGGATCTTGAAATAATTAAATTTAGGGCACCTATCAAAGAATAATTTGGACAACCAGTAGATTTTTTTCTTACCCTTTGCCCCATTTAATTTTTAAGGTATGTAGAAAAAAATATTCCATTCTTCCATCCTCGGAGCTCTTTCTGGAACAACTAATAGAATTCAGAAGTGGCAGAATCTTTACTCCTAAACTTAAGAAAGAACTGGGCTGATTTTGCTGAGACACTCCAATGGACCAGATTGTGAGGTGAGCAAAGTTTGTCTCTCCTATCCTCAGGCTTCCCTTTTTATAGGCCCTTTTTTCTCTCTTTTTAAAAAATTTACTTATTTATTTTTATTTAAATTAAATTCTTTTCTTCGTTTTACTGAGCTACAATTGACATACAACATTGTGTAGGTTTAAGGTGTACAGAATAACCACTTGATACTATTCCTCTTGTCTTGATGCTGACTCCTCCACTCCAGTTCCTGCTGAAACTAGATGTCCTTGTGCTTCTTCAAGTCTGTTCAAGGAAGCGACTTGATTAGTTAATTCACACGAAGAGCTGACTTAACCCATCATCTGCGATGACAGCACTGATGACATCTGCATCCCACTGGGCTCCCCTGCTTAGTTCCTGGGGTCCAGTGCCTAAAGGAGTGTTGTTTTAGAGGATGGGCTTCTCTGGCACTTTCCAATCACCTTTACTTTAGTCCTGAGGCTAATTCTTTCTTTCCTTTTCTTTCAAAGTTCCTTTAAATTCTAGTAATCTCTATATTTTAAATCTACTGGAAAGATACAAAGTCTAAATATATATTGTTTTCCCTGTTAACCACAACCAAGGTACATGCCCTTGACCGGAATCGAACCTGGGACCCTTAAGTCCACAGGCTGATGCTCTATCCACTGAGCCAAACCGGTTAGGGCTTCAATTAATTTATTGTTGGTTGTTTGGTGTGTGTGTGTGTGTGTGTGTTTAATCCTCACTTGAGGATATTTTTCCATTGATTTTTTTTAGAGAAAGTAGAAGAGGGAAAGACAGAGAGAAATATTGATGTGTGAGAAACACATCAATTGGTTGCCTCCTGCACAAGCCCCGACCAGGGCCCAGGCTGGGGAGGAGCCTGCAATCGAGGTACATGCCCTTAACCGGAATCGAAGCCAGGACCCTTTGGTCTTCCTGGTGTCCATTTGGTGATGAGAGATGCTACCTAATATGCCAATCATCTCTAGTTCTATCCTTTTTAGTTGGTGAGTACTCTAAAAAAATCAACATGTGGAGGATACAGAAAAAGCTCTTACCTCTCTTGAAGTCCGATGGGTTTCATTTTGAAAGGAGAAGGGCAGACAGAGGTGGTAGCTTTGATCTCAGGAGCGTGTCGACCTTGAGGGTCCACGACCACACTCAGGACCTTCGGCGCCTGCTCAGGCTGGACCATGCTGTTGGCTGTCTTTGCCTCAGACTGTGCTGGCTGTAAAGCGAGGGGTGATAGGTGGATCTCCTGATTTTTCTCTTTATCTTGTCTCAAAGAAAGCTGAAACTTTTCTTTTAATCTGTAAAGAATCTAGAGAAGGAGATATAAAGGGCTCCTGTCACATTTTTCACACTCAACAACAAAGTATGATCTCTTTCACCCCAACCTAGAAGACAACCCAAAGTAAAGGTTTAATGGTCATACAAGTAAGCAAGGACTCCTAGGACGGTTTCTCAGTTTTGTGGTATTGAGATTTTTCTCAAAAGAATACTAGTATATTTGGTATTTCTAGTTATGGTGCACAAACATGTTAAATATATCTGCACATGATTGTATTCCCCAAATAGTATTAAAAGTATATTTGGCTAATGTTATTAAAGTGTCAGATAGCAGTTTGATCATAGGTAAGCTTTTAATTAAAAAAGGTTTATAGAAGGTTTATGGAAGGTTTATAGAAGGCATAAGCGTGAAGTATGGGTTTTTGACATTTACAGAAACAGAGATCTGCATTCAATACAACATGTAAGAAGAAAGTCTTGCAAAATATTAATGAAAGTATAGTTATGCTATAATACATAATTTCCTATGTTGGTAAATATCTGAATTAGTCATATGTTAGCTTGAGGATCTTGAAATAATTAAATTTAGGGCACCTATCAAAGAATAATTTGGACAACCAGTAGATTTTTTTCTTACCCTTTGCCCCATTTAATTTTTAAGGTATGTAGAAAAAAATATTCCATTCTTCCATCCTCGGAGCTCTTTCTGGAACAACTAATAGAATTCAGAAGTGGCAGAATCTTTACTCCTAAACTTAAGAAAGAACTGGGCTGATTTTGCTGAGACACTCCAATGGACCAGATTGTGAGGTGAGCAAAGTTTGTCTCTCCTATCCTCAGGCTTCCCTTTTTATAGGCCCTTTTTTCTCTCTTTTTAAAAAATTTACTTATTTATTTTTATTTAAATTAAATTCTTTTCTTCGTTTTACTGAGCTACAATTGACATACAACATTGTGTAGGTTTAAGGTGTACAGAATAACCACTTGATACTATTCCTCTTGTCTTGATGCTGACTCCTCCACTCCAGTTCCTGCTGAAACTAGATGTCCTTGTGCTTCTTCAAGTCTGTTCAAGGAAGCGACTTGATTAGTTAATTCACACGAAGAGCTGACTTAACCCATCATCTGCGATGACAGCACTGATGACATCTGCATCCCACTGGGCTCCCCTGCTTAGTTCCTGGGGTCCAGTGCCTAAAGGAGTGTTGTTTTAGAGGATGGGCTTCTCTGGCACTTTCCAATCACCTTTACTTTAGTCCTGAGGCTAATTCTTTCTTTCCTTTTCTTTCAAAGTTCCTTTAAATTCTAGTAATCTCTATATTTTAAATCTACTGGAAAGATACAAAGTCTAAATATATATTGTTTTCCCTGTTAAGGGATGAACAAACAGAAAAGAAAGTTAGGAAAGAATTCACCTGAAATAGTGGAGGAAATAAATTCCCTTTGATAACCTATTTCAGAAAATAGTTTAGAAAATATTTGTCTAGTATTCTTTAAATATATTGGTAAAACAAGAGCCTATTCAACAAGATGAAATTATTAAAAAAGAATCAGGATAAAATAAAAACACAACAATCTAAAATGAAAAGGTACCAGAATGAGATTAAAAAGAAAATAAATCAAAGAACTGAAAACTCAGTAGTAGGATGTAAATCTTTGCAAGCAACAAAGAACAGACCCGACAATGACTAAAATATAATCACTGGTATATAAGGTTTATATGGAAAAGCCAAGAGACTACCTGGAATGTAGAGCAAAAGGATAAAGAAATGAAGATAAGGACAAGAGGAAAGACAGGACATGGAAGTCAAAGAAGAATCTCAGTAAATGATAAGCCAGAATCAATGAATGAAAGAGAAGCAAGTCAAAAGCTATTTCAGTGCCCAGTATGTCATGTATTGTGAAAGGTACAGCACCCTGTTCCTGTGGGATTTACAGATACAGAATGAAAAAAGTTCTTAGTTTAAAAAATATATGTCACTTGAAAGAACAGTAAGTGTGAGAATAAAATGGGGCAAATTTGCATGATTTTGAGAAAAAAAAATACATGTTACAATGGATGTATGAATTCCACAACTAGCTACATAGATGTGCATGTAGATGAAGCCAGTAGAATTTTTCAAATACTCGAGGTGTCAGAAAATATGCTATCTGTGTACCCTTCCCGAAAAAAAAAACCACCCTCAAAGTCATGAGAAAGGATGATTCAAAATGAAGAAGTAAAGAACTAGAAATTGTGATGTAAAAGAGAGCTTTGGAATTATTTAAACACGGAGTGAAAACTAAATGTAATTATGTTTCAGACGTTGTCTACAATCCGACATCTCTAATTGTAGTAACAAGAAAGAAGGTTGGAGGAGGCCAGAGAGGTAAAAAATAGAGGCGAATGTATGTTCAGTGACTTTTTAATTAGGAATACGGAGGGAATCAGAGTTAAGATAGTCACTGGAGGTCCTTCGAACCTACCTGTATATTACAGAGGTGGAAGTCTAGCTAAATAACCCGGCGTGCCTACAGCCACATTTAGTGGGGACAGAGCCAGGCCCCAGCGCAGCGCGGTCCTGCAGGCCTGTGCAGGCGCTGCTCCCCCCACCCTGTCCCCCCTTCCTCCCGCCCAACACACACACCGCCTCTGGCGCTGCTCTTCACCACACTGTCCTCCTTGAAGATGACTCTGAAATCACACCTGCAGCAGATGTGACTCTCACCACTGAGTCTGAAAGCTACCAAATCTAAGAATACAGCTTTGGGGAGTGGAAAGATCTTCTTAAGGGAAAAGACTATGCACATCTGGGATACAACTAGAAACACATATTATAATGTGAACTGCCAGAAATTAAAGAGAATCCTTAATGGCTTTTATGTCAGTTTACTTCCTCATAACCTGGAACCTTTTACACAGGTGCTATTCATGGACTCTGGGAGGTAAAGCTAAATCTCCCATGACAAATATTGCTAAAAGAAAAAAGAAAGTATCGCATGCCAGTGACTAGTCTTCTTGCTGTCATTATAATTATTCTCACAAGCTACGGGATAGAAAATACTAAAGGTTAATAATGCCAAAGGACGGGGAAGTTTTGAACATATTGCTTCTCTTCAGTATCCATAACCCTTAAAAGACACTTTGCCACCACAGCACTGTGCAAAACCAAAACTCCTACTAGAACAATGCAATCAGATGACACATGCGTCAAACTAAACACTTAGCTACTAAAGGATGAGGTCATAGAATTTAAAGTGGGGTAGTTGTTGTTTTTTAATTGCAAGCAAGTTATTTTCCTGAATGAGACAGAAACAAATATATCTGTACATTCACAGAAAAATATAAATAGAAGATAATGTATATATTATATATTCCAAGCTCTTGCCACCTAAATATAATAGGTATGTCGGAACATTTATTTGCCTGTTTACATCTGGGTTTTGGAGAAGCAGAGTTCAAGAATGAAAATGAGGAAGCCAAGGAAATGCTGGCCTTCACAACAATTACTGGCAGGTCACGCTTCTGATTCTATTCCAATGGGCTAGAAACAAGTTCTAGTCCAATGTCCTTTACTGTTCACGAGCTTATGTTCTTGATGAGCCTCTGCCAGGCATTTTACAGTCGTCTGCTTACTTCATCTCTGGTCAGAGGTCAATTTCTAATACGTGTCTATATAGTACCTGTATAAACTGGTTGCTACATCTGTAATGAGGGAAAAGAAGAACTTGGAGAGTGTATGTCGCTGTTTAAAATTACTCAAGAGAGAGATCGAACTGTCTGAAAAAAAATGTGGAAAAACTGAGGAGTTTGCAACTTAACAATAAGGCATTTGCCATGAAGGAACTCGAGGGCAGCGGTTCTCAGCCAGCAGGGATTTTGTTCCGGGGGCATGTGGCAATGTCTGTGATGGTTTCTGATTGTCATTCTGGAGTGTGTGTGTCGGGGGGGGGGGGGGGGGGGGGGGGGGTACTGCTGGCATCTAGTGGGCAGATGGTAGAAATGCTGCTAAATACCCTACAATACACAGGACAGAACCCTTCCCCACAACAAATTATCTACCCAGTCCAAAATGTCAGCAGTGCTGCTGTGGAGAAATCTGGGATAAGAGGTCTTAAAAAATCATCTGGTCTGATTCCCTCATCTTACTTTTAGACCCAGACTGGTTTAATAATTTATGGACAGTTAGAAATGAAGTCTAGGACCCAGGTTTCCTGACATTCCTGTGATCATTGCCCTCTCCTGTTCTTGTAAATCCCATGTCCTTCCCCCAACCTCTTTCCTGAGGCCTCTGGGAAAGTGTCAGGATTTCCCTCTGCACGGCTGGAGATCCAGAATACAGCTGATGCACATTTCTCTGTGAGAATTCACTTTGTTTGAGAATGCACCTAACAGCTTACCATAGCAATGGCAAATCAATATTTTTGATTTTACCTTTATTGCTTGTTTGAATCTTAGGATGCAATGCAATGTTTTGATCACTCGAAGAAAAAAAGAAAAGAGAAAGGAATAAAAGTTAAACTATAGCAAGAAAAAAAAATAGCAGGAAAAAGAAAGCCAGAGGGATGCAGAAATGAGAGGAAGCTAAAAAGCATCCTATAAAGCTCTTTTGCAGCTCATAATTTTTATTTAGAAAACTACATAAGCAGGTAACACAAAACATCTGTGTGAAAAATATATGTTCAAATTTTAAAATGCCAACAGTCCATAGCATATATATTTTTTTTCTTGACAGTATTTTACAGTTAGTTCTAAAAGAGCTCATTCATTTAATTGAATAAACATGAATTCCTACATTATTCCAGAAACAAGACACTGTGGATGCAGAGATGGCACTTAATGCTATCCTCTGGAAATTCACAGAAGAGACAGATGTGCCCAGTACAAAATACTAAGTACAAAAATAGAGTGTGTCCACAGTAGGTATGGTGTGGTACACATTTATGAGTTCTGTGTTGAATGGCTCTGATTTATACAGGCATCCTCATCCTGTTACTAGACCACTTTGTGGCCAGAAATAGATGCCCACAAGATAGAGTTACAGAATTAAA